TTTTTTTTGGAGAGATTTTCACTGTAGGGCGCGTGCGCTCGCCAGACAGACAGAGAGAGACATAGAGACAGAAAGCGAGAAATCACCCCCCAGGGGGGATGGTCACGCCGCAATCCCTTCTCCTCCATTCTCCTCTCGGGATCTTGGGCACGCACGCACACGCGCCCGGCGTGAGTTTTAAGCCACCGGGTCCGGGACACGAACCGCGGTCGACTACGTGGGAGTCCAGCGACATAGCCATTACGCTAACTGCTGGTTCCCTATAATGTCATATGTTAACAGCCATTGAAACTTGTTGCGTGGATTCATTATTTTATGGTGATATTCCAGTTCTAAAATTCTTTCCCTTATTAGCTAAGATATTCTTACCATGAGAAATCGTCCTTCGTGTATGATTTGATACAGGCAAATCAATGCTACATTCTTTTCCTTTACTCACTAGTTTTCAAAATAATGGATCGATTCTTTAGCATCCTCCAAAAGACCGAAAGCGAGAAATCACCCCCCACTCCACCCCCAGGAAGGATGGCCATGCCGCAATCCCTTCTCCTCCATTCTCTTCTCGGGATCTTGGGCATGTACATACAAGCACCCGGCATGAGTTTAAGCCACCAGGTCTGAGACTCGAACTATGATTGACTACATGGGAGTCCAGAAATGTAGCCATTATGCCATCTGCTGGTCCCTTATATATTATTTTTATTTATTTTTAAAATTTGACTAGAGAGAGAAAGGGAAAGTGAAAAAAGCAAACTGCAAGGTCCAGGATTTGAACAGTGGTTGACCACACCACCTCCCAGCCCCAAATGAGTGATTTTTTTTTGAAAATCATGTGAATTCATGGATTTCAATATATTTGTCTTTATTACCCTTTTTTATGCTTGAATTATCCCATCTTTTGGCCACTAGGTGCCTGTTTATATTTATATTCGTTTTTGAGTCTTTTTGATATGACTCTAGTAATCTTTTTTTTCGAAGAGGTTTTTGCTATAGGGCGCATGTGCTCGCCAGAAAGACAGAGAGAGACAGAAAGCGAGAAATCACCCCCCAGGAGGGATGATCACGCAGCAATCCCTTCTCCTCCATTCTCCTCTTGGGATCTTAGGCACGCATGCACAGGCACCTGGCACGACTTTAAGCCACCGACTTACATGGGAATCCAGCGACATAGCCATTACGCCAACTGCTGGTCCCTCCTCTAGTAATCTTCTATAGGAATCACTCTTCAGAGCTGAAATGTGATCTCAATGGGCACAGTGGGTCATACAAATGGAGGCAGAATATTATCTCTGAGGCCTTTTTTTTCTCTACCCTTTGGTTCAAAGGCTTGACTTGTCTAATGAAGGCCTCCCCCTCCTAGAACCTATCTCCTTGACTACCTCAGGGCCCGCTCACTTCTGGCCGTATCTTGGGGCTCCCTGCTTTCCTGGCTTTCAAAATGTAGAAAGTCAGCAAAGAATGCCTTAGTGACCCTAGGAGGGGACCTAGAGTGCCACGTGAGTCACAGGTGCATTGTCCCAGGTGTTAGGCAGGCGGGGTAGGGCAAGGCCCAGGCTGACTTTGCAGGTGGTGCTCTTTGCTCCATCCCTCATGTAAGGCTGACAGATCCAGCACACCCCAGCTTCTTCAGTCTTCTAACTCTTCGCAGCCTCTGATCTTGGCTTGAAGATGGGCTGTAGCTTGGGCTCACAGCAACCTCAGCCACCTGCCTTTACATATCCCTTGTCCCTCCACTCCCTGCCTCTCCCTCTAACTCTGCTAAAGTTCTAGTCTCTTTTTCATCTCAAACCACCCGTCTCTATCCCTGCTCCTCTCTCTTCAACCTCAAAGGAGGCATTGCATCGTTAATCTCGACAATCCTCTAATCATTCCCATTTTATAGATAGGAAAACTGAGAAACTTAGCTCTAAGTGCCAATCAGGGACTTGAACTTGCACATGTGGGATCCATGTCTGTTTCATGTCACTGAACACAATCACCTTCCCTATCTTCATTCTTCTTGAATAACTGCTTATTTTTCTTTAAGAACTTAACATATACATTTCCTGAGTTCAGAATTAAGACATATAGCTAAAAATTCAAGTGATTATACTTTTTTTTTAAGTTTGCTAAAGGATGCCTGCAAGTGCCAGAGAGAGACAGGGGTTGACTGGTTGGGGGCGGGGTGAGAAATCACTCCCTTTTGGGGATGGCAGGGATGGCCATGCTCCAATCCCCTCTCTCTTCTGTTCTCCTCCAGGGATTTTGGGCACACACACATACGTGCCTGGCATGTTTCCCAAGCTTCTAGATCCAGGACTTGAACCATAGAGGCCTTGTGGGTACCCCAACATCCATGCCACTTGCAGGCCCTACTTCTTTTTTTAAAGTATATTAAGTCCCTTTGCTTCTCAGACCCCCCAAATAATCACCATCAATAGTTGTTTTATTTCCTTCCAAACCTGTTTTTCCATAAACATTTAGAAATAAATTTTCTAAAAATAGGTTTTTTTCTTGTATGTACTTTCCTGCATATTGCTTTATTCACTTATTTACTATTAAATGTGTCTTGTGTTTAAAACATTTAAATCTGCATTCTGTTTAACAGCTTCAGCTGTTCACTATTACTATAAGTCATTTAGTCATGAACTTTGGAGCTCTTTCCAATTTCTCATCATTTCAAACGATGCTGGGGTCAGCAGGTGACATGGTGGTTAAGGCACTGGATTCCCACATGGCTGACCACATGCAAGTCCTGGACCCAGTGGCTTGCTTTCTCACTTTCTCTCTCTCTCATCAAATTAAAAATAGCAATAATAATTATTATTATATAATACTAAAAATAATTTAATACTAATAAATAAATAAATATTTTTAAAAATCAAACAATGCCACACTAGCCACACTAGCACCTTGTACATTTAGTTTTGCGTATTTGTATAATTATTTCCATATGGGCCAGCCAGTGGCACAGAGGTTAAGGAGGCTGGGTCCCACATAGCCAACTGTGTGGTTTGAATCCCAGACTTGGTGTCTTGAAAAACACACTAGATGTGTGTGCATGTTGCCCCAAATCCTGAGAGAACAGAGGAGAAGGAATTGTGTATTGGCTATCCCCTGGAGAGATTTTTTCTCACTTTCTCTCTCTTTGTGTTTCTCTTCAGTGAGTGTATGTGCCCTACAGCAAATTTTTAAAATTATTATTTCCATAGGCTAAATTCTGGAAAATAGAGTTTATGAGTGAAAGCTATACATATTTAAAACTTTAATAAACATTTTTTTTTTTTTTTGGAGCGGTTTTTTCTGCAGGGTTTGCTGTAGGGCGCATGCACTGGTCAGAAAGACAGAGACAGAAAGACAGAAAGTGAGAAATCGCCCCCCGCCCAGGGGGGATGGCCATGCCGCAATCCCTTCTCCTCCATTCTCCACTTGGGATTTTAGGCATGCACACACACACATTCAGCCTGAGTTTCAAGCTGCCAGGCCTGGGACTTGAATCTCATTTGACTATGTGAGAGTCCAGTGACATAACCATTACACCATCTGCTGGTCCCCACAGCTGATTTTTTTTTTTTTAATTGCTAGAGGGTGTGTGTATGCCTGACAAGAGAGACAGAGATACAGGGGGAGGGAGAATGCATACCCCCCACAATGGGACATGGTCATACTGCAATCCCTTCTCCATTTTCCTCTCAGGATTTTGGGCATGTATGCAGTGTTTATCAAGCTTCTGGGTCTGGGACTCAAACCATACAGTCGACCATGTAGGGTTCAGCTGCCTTAGCCACCACACCACAGGCTGGCCCATGAACTTTCAAATTATTTTATCAAGCTTCTCAACTAATCATTTTTAGGATTTAGAGGTTAAGTTTATGGTTTAGGGGAGGTTGTATATTTTATATTATCGAATCTTCTTATCTAAGAACAAATTATGATTCTTTGCTTATTCAAGTCTTCCTTTTGTAAGTGACTCAGAGGACTCAGTTTTATTGACTGAGTTGACATAGGTCCTGTATGTTTCTTATTAAAGTTATTCCTACATATTTTATAAATTTTGTAACTCTTATTACTGGGATTATTTCTTTCCATCAATTTTCTTTTTCTTTCTTTCTTCCTTTCTCCTCCTTTCTTTCTTTTCTTTTCTTTTTTTTTTTTTTTTTTTTTTTTGAGAGGTTTTTGCTATAGAGTGCGTGTGCTCACCAGAAAGAGAGAGAGAGACAGAGAGACAGAAAGCAAGAAATCACCCCCGGGGGGATGGCCATGCCGCAATCCCTTCTCCTCCATTCTCCTCTCAGGATCTTGGGCACATATGCACATGTGCCCAGCATGAGTTTAAGCCACTGGGTCCAGGACTCACACCCCAGTCAACTACATGGGAGTCCAGCAACATAGCCATTACGCCAACTGCTGGTCCCCAATTTTCGTTTAAAAAAAAATTAATTACTTTAAAAAAATTATTTATTTAATTTATTTATTCATTTATTTTAATTTGACCAGAAAGAGGCAGAGAAAGAGAGAGAGAGGAAGTGAGAAAGCAAGCCACCAGATTCAGGACTTGAACCATGGTCGGCCATGTGGGAGTGTCCAGCACCTTAACCACCACGCCACCTGCTGGTCCCCATAATTAATTACTTTTACTTTGACCAGAGAGAGACAGAGTGAGTGAGAGAGAGAGCAAGAGAGAGGGAAAGTGAGAAAGCAAGCCACCAGTCCTGGGACTTGAACTTCAGTCAACCACACGGGAGTCCAGCACCCTTAACCACCATGCCACCTGCTGGCTCCACTTTCCATCAATTTTCTAACTAATCAAAAAGCTACTACTTGTTTATATTTAGTTCTTTCTTCTTATTATTTTCTCCTTCAAAAAAATTTTAGCAGAGGGCCCTCGTGCTGGTCAGGGACAGAGAGGGAGATGGAGAAAGGACCCCCCTTCAGGGGCAATCTCTTCTCCATTTTTCCATCCAGTTTGGATTTGGGACACACACATATGTACCCAGTATGTTTCCCAAGCTGCAGGATCTGACATTCAAACCACACAGTCATCTATGTGAGGTCACCTTGCCTTAACCACCAGGCTATGGAGCTGGCCCATGGTTTTAACTCTTATCTCCACCCACACTCTCCCTTGCAGAATTTGACCTTGACCTTGAATATATTTTTATGTTGATGACTCCTAATAGCAACAGTCTTGTCTTCTTTCCCAACTATCATTTGTTTGTTTGTTTGTTTGCTCTAGGGAATGTGCACTCACCAGAGAGACAGAAAGAAGGAAAGTGAGAACCACGCCTTCCCCCTGTTGGGGGGAATGACCACTCTGCAATCCCTTCTCCTCCATTCTCTTCTCAGGATTTTGGGCACACATGCACATATGCCTGCTGTGATTTTCAAGCCACCAGGTAAATATGGAAGAGAAGGTACTGCAGCATGACAGTTCCCCATGCAGGGTGGGGTGGGGTAGGATTTTCCTCTCCTCCTTTCTTTGAATGAATAAATAAATAAATAAAGCCCCCACACACAACACAAAAACAGAAGCAAAACCAAGAAAAAACAAGATAACAAAAAGAAAAACAAAAAAAAGAAAAAAAAATGTAGCTTATCTTGTGCGGTAACATTTACAAAACAAGTAGCCTGATGTGCTAGTTATGATTTTTCTAATAGGAATGAGACTAAATACAACCGTTTTAAAAATATTAATTTTCATATAGCTTAAAAACATTGCTTATATCACATATCTCATCTTCTGAAACTCAGTTCTAGAGGGTAACCAACCTTTCGATCTGAATATTCACTATTGCTTCAAAGCCAATGTTCTTTCTTCAAAATCACACCCAATCCCACCTTTGTTGCTCAGTCTTTTACCCAGTCACTGGAGCTCCAAACTTGGGTTTTGCAGATGACCAGTTCCACTCTTCACTCCCATTCTGAGGATGTTTTCTTTCAGCTGTAACTGTCCCTAGCCCTCTAGCCTCCGAGGTACCCTTCTTCTCCTCCTCCCCAGTGGTAGATGGGATCCCACCGTGATTCCTCTGGTTTCCTTCCTGGACCAGCATCTTGCTTCAAGGTCATCTTTCTGAACCAGCTTCATCACGGCTAGACTCCTTATTGCCCTCTCTGTATCATTTAAACACAGTTCCTGCTTGTCTCCCCACCCCCCATCTCCTTGTGTTCCACAATCAAACTGAGGCTTCCCCTCCTCCCCCTACTCATCCAAACCTTACCGTCCTTTTAGGCTTTTTCCAGGAAGCCTTCTTGGAAGATTCCAGTCCCCTCTTTCTCTCACTCCTGCAGTGCATTGTCAAGAACACGTGAGGTGCTCAGTAAATGCTGGCAGAGTCCCTGCATAGTGACATTGCCAAAGACTTACCTGAGTGAATCCACCTCTCCCTGTTACTGGCCACAGCTCCTCACCCCTCCCTGCGCAGCCTCCACCTCCCACCAACGGAGGGCAAGATGGAAAAGGCAGCAAGTGTAAGAAAGGCAGAGCGCACTGTGAAATGTAAGAGGCCAGCTCTAGGATCATTAGTCTTTTAATATATTATTCTGAAAAGAAAGGAATTAAAAAAAAGTTCCTGACAGCTCTTCTGTTTTTTGTTTTTTGTTTTTTTAATTTAAATAAATACCCTGCCCACCCCACCCCTCCCACTAAAATTTCCCTCCTTCCCCATCATCCCTCCCATCCCTGGCACTAGACCCTCACCCCAGAAACTAAATAGGATGCCTGTTTCAGAGCAGGCCACGCTCACTACCAAATTCTGGCAAACTGTAAATACTGTAAATGGTCTGTGGCCTCGGCTCACCTGAGCCTCTCCTTGCGCTCACTCCCCTGGGAAAGCAGACCCACCCCTGGCTTTGGGAGGGCACGTATGGCAGGGCCTTCAGGCATTGGCATTGGGGAGAGTGCACGCTTGGCATGAAGTTGTCACTCCCTGCTCAGGAGTAGGTAAGAAGGGCCCAGAATTGCCCACCAGACTAAAATAAATAACAAAATAAATACCCCTCCCCCACTCCCTCCTCTCTGTAAAAGAGCTTCTCTACCTTTCACTCTCTAGACCCTCTTTCATTTGACCCACCCCCCCTTCATCCTCCCCAACCCTTCCCTTCTTCCTCATGCTGACCTAGGCTTGGCCATGACCTCTCAGGAGAAGAGTCTACCAAGCTCAGTGGGGAGAACAGGGGGGGCCTCACCCCAACCTCAAGCAAACCCTCCTTCTCCCCCAAATTTCTCAGGGTGCTGTTGGCACTCAGAGCCCGATGGGCATAGCAGATTCCCCGTCGCTGGGGGCTGGGGTGGAGGGCAGGGGTTCTCCCTGGCGCTCTCTCACCTGGTCTTTTAGTGTTTCTCAAGGCAAGTCTCCCTTTAGGGCCGAGCAATCCCCGCCCCTCCCTAGTCCAGGAGCCCCGGCCGCCCCGCCCTCCTCAGATGGCAGTGTCCCAGAGGAGAGGCCGGTGTGCTGCCGGCGGCAGGGCGGGGTGCCCGACTTGCGGGGTTCGGGGCCCCGCCGCCAGCTGGGGAGGATGGGCATGCTCTCTTGCTTGCAGAGGCCTCGGTCGGGGCGGTGGCGCGCCTTGATCTCCTTGCACACGCAGCGCTTGCGCTCGATCACCTCCAGCAGCTTGCCGTCGCGCTCGCGGGCCGGCTGGGGCGGAAGGGGCAGCGGCAGCGGCAGCGCAGGGTGGATCTGCGCCACCAACCCGGGAGAAAGGAAGAGCCGGGGGTCAAGAACCTCTGGGCTGCTGGGCCCTGCCACAACGAACGTCTTCCCCCAGAAACAGATCCTCTCTAGCCCCCACAGCCTCTGTTCTTCCCTTGGCTATGCGGGCTAAAATACACCCCCTCTGCCCAACAGTGAGCCCTCTGCTACCATGCTGGGCTTCTCCCATTCCGAGGTGGAGGCGCTTTTAAAAATGTCTTCCCAGACCGAGCCAGAGGGGTCTTTTTCTAAAACTCACACAGGCGCCGTCTGGCCTAGGGTTCTGCCTCACTGCTCATCTTAAGCACCCCCTGCTTAGGATCCTCCTCCCAACACCCCACTCTCCATCGGAGTCCCAATTAGTCAATGCCTGCCACATCCAGGTCAGGCCCCAGCTCTGCCTGGCTCCTTTCTTGCCTTTCCTTCAACATCCAAGCGTCTTCCCTACCTGCTCCTTCACAAACAGAAGCCTCACCTGGCTTGGGGCATCCCTGGGCTGGCTGCAGGGCCGGGGAGTGTGGAGCGCGGCCTGCCGGACTCCAGAGGTGGAGGCAGAGCGCCCCAGGCGGTAGCCTCCCGTGAAGTCTAAGGTGCAAGCAGGAGGAGTGAGAAGAAAAGTGGCCTCCAGGTGCTCCCTCCCCCAGTTCCCTGAGGACTGCCACCAGGCTGTCCTCTGCCTCATCAGAGTAAAGGGGATGATAAAATGGTATGAAAATTTTCTTTTTTGGAGAAGTTTTTGCTATAGGGCGCATGCGCTCGCCAGACAGAGAGAGACATAGAGACAGAAAGCGAGAAATCACCCCCCAAGGGGGGATGGTCACGCCACAATCCCTTCTCCTCCATTCTCCCCTTGGGATCTTGGGCACGCACGCACACGTGCCAGGCGTGAGTTTAAGCCACCAGGTCCGGGACTTGAACCGCAGTCTACTACGTGGGAGTCCAACGACATAGCCATTACGCTAACTGCTGGTCCCAAAATGGTATGAAGATTTAGGGCCCTGGAGATAGACTAGCCCAGCCCTTGGGAGATCCCCCTAGCCCGCTCCACGCGTGTATGGGTACAGGTGGGCAGGGTGTCACCTCCATTGCGGTGGCAGGCGGGGAAGGTCTGGCAGGGTATGGGCAGCGCCGTGCGGCTCCCTCCTCGGTCTGCTCCATGGTGAATCCTGGCCAGCAGGCCCTCTGCCCCTTGGCTCCTCACTGGAATCCCTGATGCCATAGGACCCCTGTCCTCACGCTCCACTTTGCCTGGACCCTCAGCACTGCCATTCCAGGCCCGGGCACCATCTTCGACCTCTGTGGGATGACAAGGAGAACTCAGTGCCTGCACATGGGAGGGGTCCTTCTGTCCCCCGCCACATAAACTGCAGCAAATGTGGACCAGATGTAACTGTCCCCTTTCCAAGCCACAGGAGGGATGGGAGGGACCTTGCTTCATACTCCCCCAGTGCACACACACACACAGAGGAGGGACCTTAGTACAGCCACTTTCCTTTCTGCCCATCGGTACCACCCCTGGGGCTGAAAACCAGATGTACTTGCAGCTTCCAAACCCTTTTCCCTGGACAGAGGGTCCTCTCCTGCCCCAGCTTTAGCTTCTGAGCACCCGTCCAGTCCCAGATAGAGCCAGAATGGCCATCCCCTGAGGCTGAAAGAAGGGGTGCTGTTCCCCAGGAGGAAGAGAATCCCAAATCCTGAGCCAGGAAGGGGGTGTGGGGAGGGGAGGAACTGCGTGTGAACTAAGCTCATCTCAGAGAGTAGGCCTGGCAGAGCATTGCGTTGCCAGGCAACGACAGGGGCCTCCCTCTCCTCTCCCTCCTGTCTGGATGGGTTGCCATGGTAACAGCTGGGAGGCAGCTGTGTTTAGCTCCTAGTGTGCGCACACTCACAAACACACACCCCTGCAGCCCTGGGAAGGGAGGGGCGGGGAGTGGAGCAGGACAAGGCCAGACTCTATCAAATCCCCCCATCCCAGACACTCCTGCCCCTACAATACACACCAGGTCCCCATTCTATCAGTCATTGCCTACCCCCATTCTTCTGGTCTTCCAGAAAACTTCCCAGACCAGGACAATGGGTTGTGACTGCCACCCTCCAACACCTCCCTCAAACCATTATAACACCTCCAAATCCCCTTAGCTCCCACCCCATCCCTGTCCTCCACCCCTCACTCACTGTCCAGCTCCTTTGCCTTCCTCCCTCCATACAGGACCTTCCTCTGCAGAGCCCAGCCTGCCCCAAATGTCGTGGCACCCATTTCTTCTTCCTCCTCTGGTGTCCCTGCACTGGCGATGACGTGGGCACAGGAAATGCTGGCAAAGGCACCCCCCTCGGTCCCTTGCTCCTGTAGCTGGATCTTGACCATGGGGGATGGGGCCCCCACTCCACAGCCCTTGTTCAGCACCCCCCCAGCCTTGAGGCTCTCATAGGCAGGGGGTCTCTTGAGCCCAGCTGCTGTGGCTGGGTAGGTCCAGAGAGGAGTCAGAGGGCCTGCAGTTGGGTCTGGAAGGCTGTGAGGGGAGGCCAGGCAGCCACGGTGGTGGAGGACTCCAGCTGCTGTACCCATGGCCCCACTGTGGGAGCTGGACTTCCCTGGCACAGGGGACCTGGAGCTAGTGCACAGCATCCCATGGAGGACTGAGATCTCCTTCTCCGTCTTTGGCTCCCCAGCCCCGAGGGGTGGACCAGCTGGCAGGACAGAGTGCGTGGTCACCTTGACTGCTGAGTACACCATGGTGTAAGACACGGCTTTGTCCTTGGGTGTGCTGGAAAGCAAGGCGGCTGGGGCAGGGGGGGCTGCCGGCGCCCCCACCGCCTTGGGGCAGATCATGCTGTGGGAGTTGGGGAGCTCACGCTCCCCCCTGGGCTGGCCAGAGCCCTGGGGTGGCAAAGGTGTCGAGTGGCTCCGGGCCCGGCCTGAGGGTCCCAGCAGCAGCAGGTTGGCAGCAGGAGGCGGAGGCGGTGGGGGAGGCGTCTCTCGCTCCCGTGCAGGCACTTGGGGAGCTGGGGTGGAGCTGGCTAGCTCCTTGGAGTAGCAAAGGACCGGTAGCCTCGAGACCCCATCGCCAGGGGTTCGGGAAGCAGACTTGGCTTGGGGGAAGGCCAGGAGCGGAGGACGATGCTGGAGGAGGTTGGGGAAAGGTGGAGGGATTTCACAAGAAGTGGTCTTGGTGGGTGTCCCATCCCTCCGGCTTGGGAGGGCTGAAGCTGGACGGCGGTGAGTGTGGGGCTGAAGGGCATGAGGCTGGTGTGGAGGGGAGGTGGCCATCAATGAGGGGGCCCCGTTGGCCCGGCCCTCCCCTGCCTCTTCAGGCAGTGGGGAATTCATCCCCCCCTTTTTGGCCTCCCC